GGCGGTCGGTGGAGGTCTGGTCTGCGTTGACGTAAGTAAGTGGTGATTTCGTCGTCCCAGCGCTTGTTTTGGCCACCGTGCTGCCTGTGTCCCTGCTGGCGCGGGTTGAGGACTGGGTGCCAGCGCAGCACTCGCCATGTCCGCCTCGTCCAGTCGTGGTTTGCGACTTGTGAAGCCATGCGCCAGACTTTCCGTTTGTGCAGCATCTCCCAATTGTCAATGTGGTGGGGCGTCATGCGGCGCTCTGTGCGTCGTGTCGCTCGCTGGATGTAGTCGACCCATGGTTCCATTTCGTCTGCGGTGGTGTTGTCTTCGCCGTCTTCGCTGTGTTTGTCAGGCGTGTCAGGTGCATCGTGCTGTGATGGGTTGCTGTCTGTGTCGTCGCTAGTGCTGTTGGTGCGGTCTTCTTGGTCTTGTGCTTCGTTGTTCGCACCGTCGAGATTCGGTCCCTGGCCGCTGTGAGGGCCGGCTTCTTTTGTTGTGCGTCGCCGTGGCGTTCCGATGATCATGCGAAGCATGCGTCGTTGTGTGCGTCTTAGATGATGCCGTAGAGGCTCCGTGAGGGTCCACGTCTCTGCTCCGTATAACGCTGTTGGTGCTACACTGCTGTTGAAAAGGCGGAGTCGGTGAGCCAGCGGGTAGTGTTTGCAGGTCAGCTCCTGCTTGCGAAACGTGTATGATGCCCATGCAGCTCGCGTGCGGTGGTGGATTTCCGTTTCCATTGGTTCGTGGAAGCTGCTCAAGTGGCCGAAGTATTTGATACTGCCCTCGTATGGAACGATTTATATATCCATGTCTTGGAAACGTGCTGTGCGTGAGCTCGCCCTTCCGGTCCTTCTCGACTGGTTGCTCAATATTTTGGTTTTGCTCGGGTGCAGTTCGAGCCCGTGTACCCTCGTCGCGCGCACAATGTCGTCAAGCATCGCTGTCAGGCGCGGGAGAATTCGGCTGGTCAAGAGCACGTCGTCGGCGAAGCGAAGGTTGGTCAGCGTGGCGGCGCTCGTGAATCCCAATTATACTCCCTTCCCTTGTTGCTGCCATTCGGAAACCAGCGGTCCAAGCATGTATTGTGGAAGAGCGTTGAAGAGTAGGGGGCTGAGTGGGTCTCCCTGCTTCGTGCCCCGCAGAAGGCTAAAGGGTCTGCTGCTGACGTCTGTCCTCACCGTGGCTGTCTGTCCCGCATAGAGCTGTTGGAGTAGCGCGACGCATCCAGGTTGGACCCCTTTGTGCCTTCAGTGCTGCCCATATGCTCTTGTGGTCAACTGAATCGAAAGCTTTTTTGAAGCCAAGTGCTGCAACCCACAGGTTTGGGCCCCATTCGTTTGCGCGCTCGCGCAATAAATGGAAGGTGAAGAGGTGGTCAGTGGCCGAGTGGCCTGGTCTGAAGCCCGCCTGGTCGGCAGTCTGGTGTGAGTCAAGCGTCGGTTGTAGCCTGTTGTACAGTAGTCGGCTGAAGAGCTTGTACAACAATGGTATCGTGCAAATGGGGCGGTAGTTTTGTGGAAGCGCGAGATCTCCACTTTTTGGTATGACTGTGACGACTGTGCTCTTCCAGCAGGCTGGCGGTGGGGCTTCGCGCTGCAGGATCGTGTTGTAGAGGTGGAGAAGTGCACCTCAAAGTTCCTCTGTGCCTTCTTTGAGCATCTCTGCGCGGAGACCTTTCGTGTCTGGGGCTTTGCCAAGCCAGAGACCTTTGATCGCCTTGTTTAGCTCTTTCGGTGTGAAGGGTGGGAGTCGGTGAGTTTGCTGGTCGCTGGTCGGTCGTAGGTTTGCCAGTCTGTTGGCCGGCGGGCCGGGGTCGGTCTGCTGCTCTGCTGGTCGGTCGGTCGGTCTGGCGTGCGGTTTGCTGCTTTGCCGGTCTGCCGGTCGGTCTGCTGGTCGGTCGGCGGGGTCGTCGTTTGGTCGTTGTGGGAGTCGGTGGGTCTGCTGGTCGGTCGGTGGTAGTGGGTCTGCTGGTCTGTTAGTCAGCGGTCGGTAGTCAGTCTGCTGATCTACTGGTTGGTCGGCCGGCGCGGCGTTCGGCCTGTTGGTTTGCTGGTCTGCTGGTCGGTCTGCTGGCCGGTGTGCTGGCCAGTGGTCGGTGGGGTCGTCGTTCGGTCGAGCGTGGGAGGGTAAGGAGAAGGAGGAGGAGGACGAGGAGGAGCAGGAGGAGGAAAAAAGAGGAGCAGGAGAAGGTGAGGCAGGGAAGGGGGAGGAGAAGAGGGGAGCAAGGAGAAGACAGAAAGAGGAGAGGGAGAGGGGGGCAGGAGGGGGAGAAATAAGGAAGCTGGAAGCGCGATTGGCCTGTCTCCGAGAAGGAAGCTGAAAGCTGGATAGCCTGAGAAGGAAAAAGACGGAAGTGGAACGCAAGAACAAGCGGCAAAGTTTGGCCACGCAGCCGGGACACGGGGCCCACCACCACCACCACCACCATCATCATCATCATCATCATCAGCAGCAGCAGCATCATCATTATAACGACCAACATCACCATCACCATCGCCAACCTCATCATCAGCGGCATCATCATCAGCCGCATCAGTATCATCATCAGCAACCTGATCATCGACATCAACATCAGCATCAGCACCAGCATCATCATCATCATCATCAGCAGCAGCATCATCATCATCATCGTCATAATCATCATCATCAGCAGCATCATCATCACCACCATCCACATCACGATCGTGAAAGACACCATTGGGTGGCGCGCACAAGGTGGTGGAGGGTGGGGGAGGACTCCTCAGAGGGAGGCTGCTTCGTAGAAGGCGCCGGCACTACATCTACAGGCGAGGCCCGCGCCTTCTGAGGAGCAGGGGTGCTTCTGAGGAGCCGTCCCCCCCTCCCCCTGCCCCCCTCTGCGCGTGGCCGACAACATCGACAGCATCACCATCACGGGGGAGAAGCAAGGCGAGGCGAGGCGAGGCGCTGGGCGGTCGTCCCGGGGGACGGCCCTGCGAGAGCCCGGCGGCGGCGCCGGAGCACCGAGAAAAAGTGCCAAGCGAGGGGGAAGGAGGGAGGAGGGGAAGGAGGGAGGGAGCAGGGAGGAGGGCGGGGAGGAGGAGGAGGGAGAAGGGAGGAAGAGAGGAGGAGGAGGAGGAGGAGGAGGAGGAGGAGGAGGAGGAGGAGGAGGAGGAGGAGGAGGAGGAGGGGGAGGAGGAGGAGGAGGAGGAGGAGAGGAGGAGGAGGAGGAGGAGGGAGAGGGCTGAGAGGAGGGTAGGCTGGAGGGGCTGCGATGGGGGGGGGGGGGGCAGAGCCCCGTGGCGCTCGTCGGGGAGCTCGCTCGTCGGGGAGCCGCGCGCGGCCAGACCCGCCCCAGCCCCGCGAGGTCGTGCTCTCCTTCGCCCCTCGCCCCTCGCCCGGGCGGCCGCGACGCTGCGGCAGCGCACGGCACGACGTCGGCCCCGCGCGCGCACTTTGCCGAGGAGGGCGGGGAGGGAGGAGGGTGGGGAGGGGAGGAGGGAGGAGGGAGGAGATAGGAGGAGGAGGAGGAGGAGGAGGAGGAGGAGGAGGAGGAGGGTGGGGAGGGAGAAGATATGAGGAGGGAGGAGGGAGAAGATAGGAGGAGGAGGAGGAGGAGGAGACGAGGGTGGGGAGGGAGGAGGGGAGGAGGGAGGAGGGAGAAGATAGGAGGAGAGGAGGAGGAGGAGGAGGACCAGTTTAAACCCAAGAGGCATCAACGATGTTGGAATAAACCCTCCTTCCAAGCTCCCCCTTCATGGGCCCCTACAGCGGTTCATGTCCATTGAGGGAACTGCCTCGTCGGAAGACAACCGTCCCAGCAGCATGCCAAAACATTGTTCTCGGGATTCCAACGCCACGGATCAACCTGACTGCGTGTTGACGATCCCGACTCGTGCCGGAACGCCATTCCTGGGACTTCAACGCAGCGAAGCAACGTAACTTTTGCGTCCACGTAATCCTGAATCTTTTCAAACCATAATTTCTGGTACGCTGATGATGAGAATCCTTGAAACTCTTTACAAATTTCTGAAACGAATGTGCGCGGCGCGAAGGCGAGAGCCACATTTTGAAAACGAGCCGCTTTCAATATGTCCAACTCTTGCAAATGTTTAGAACGAGTGTACGCCGCGCTGAGGCGAGAGCCGCATTGTGAAAACCACCCACCCGCCCTCAATCCGTGAAACTCGTGCAACCTTTTTAAAACAAAAAAAGTGCCCCGCGCTAAAGCGAGACCCACATGTTGAAAACCACCCGCCCTCAATCCGTGAAACTCCTATCAAATGTTTAGAGCAACTGTGCGCCGCGCTAAAGCGAAAACCATATTTTGAAAAAGACCCGAAAACCACCCGCCCTCAATCCGTGAAACTTTTGCATATGTTTAAAACGAATGTGCGCCGCGCTAATGCGACAGCCCTCAATCCGTCAAACTCTTGCAGATGTTTAAAACGAATGTGCGCCGCGCTAATGCGAGGGCCACATTGTGAAAACCACCCGCCCTCCATCCGCGAAGCTCTTGCAAAATGTTACAGCGAATGCGCGCCGCGCTAATGCGAGAGCAACATTTAGAAAACCACCCGCCCTCCATCTGTGAAACTATTGCCAAAATTTAAGCTGCAGGGTCATAAATTATGAGGACGTCTCAAGCGAAACGCCCAGCCCGCCATTTTGGACGCCCGAAATGGGCACCGAAAGAATGGGTACAATGCCCAACAACAAATGTTGTCCCAAACCAACAGCGGCCGCTGTTGGGCAGGCGGCCATCTATCTCGAATGGACACAGGCCGCGGCGGCGTGGACAGCGAGTCCTGTTCAAAATGAACAGGAACTGCTGTTGGGCATTGTACCCATTCTTTCCGTACCCATGTCGGTCGTCCCGAGCCATAAAAACTGGCCTCGGGGTGCGACAGGGAGACATCATTCACAAGGAAAAGGGCATCAAGGAGGGCGACGAGCCCGCGCGCACTTTATAGAGCCCGAGGCAACAGGACCATATAGAGCCCCCCCGTCGGCTGCGAGGGCCGGCACCGGCGCCGCCCTCACGCGGACGTGCGGGCGCGCTTCTGCGCGGGGGGCTCGGCCTCGCACCCCTGCGCGGCGAACCAGCTGTCCCCAGAGGTGAGGGTGAGCCCGCCCACCGGCCCTGCCCCCAGCAGCTTCGCGACGGCGCCCGCGCACGGCTCCGGCAGCACGGCGAAGGCGCTGTCGTCGTCGATCCACCGGATCTGAACGTCCGCGGCCTCGATGGGGTCGCCGCTCGGGCCACGGGCGTCGGAGAACGCCGCGCGGAGGTCGGCGGCGGAGCGGCCCTTGAGGCCGCGCACGTGCACGTAGATTCCCTTGGCAACCATGTCATCCTGGCCACTCAGGTTGAAGTGGAACAGGCCTCTAAACATGGGCGTGCGGCCGATGAGCCCTGGGGCACGCTCGGCAGAAAGCGCCTCCTTGGCCATGTGGGCAAACGCACAGCCAGTGATGTATGCGTCGTACCCTGCCTCGTGGAAGGCGGCGCACCCGGGGCCGTACCGCTCGAAACCGGGTGCGAGGACGACTTCCACGGACGGGGCACCGGCCTTCTTGGACGCCGCCGCCTCCTGCTCGAAGACTTTGTAGACTTCTGCCAGGGCTGTGCTGCCAAAGCGGTGGGCCTTGTCTGGCCCAGGCGCAAACTTGAAGGGCTCCTGCGTGGCAAGGAGCTTCGTGTCGAATCCGGCACCGTGCCCACTGGCACGCCGGAAAATGTTAGAAACCATCTCGGAGCATCACCCTTAAAAATCACCCCCCCCACGACGGCCCCGGGACTCGCCAAGATGCCACCAAGAGGGCACGAAGACGGAAGGACGAAAGAGGGGAGGGAAGCAAAGGTTGGATTAGCGAATCTGCTGCAGGCGGCTGGTTTTTCCAGCGCCTGCAGGCGACAGGAGCGACCATGTATCGAGGAAAGGGCCTTGAGGCTGAGACGAAACCAGCTGCATGCAGCACATTTCGCACCCCCCCATTTCAAAAGCCGCCCGCACAGTTCGTCCGACCCTACAATATTACACCCAGAGGCGCCAAGGGAGCCCAAGTGGGCCCTAGCTCTCTCCAGGAGGTGTCCCCAAGAGGCACCCAAAAGGAGCCCAAGAGGCCCCATGAGAACTCCACAAGCCCTCCGTGAGGCAGCGCATACGCAACCGGAAAAAAACTGTGGGTGCTTCTACGTTGCGCCTGTCACCGTCTTGTGCCCCCCGATGCCGGAAGGCAGACAGAGCAGTAGCGGTCCAGGAGGCCCCATCGAGAAACTCAAGGCGGCCCCGAGACAACCCCAACTCGTGCTGGGCCTGGTGGCCTTTTCCCAAGATATTGCTTCCAAGACCCCGAACGTAGTGGATGCCATGACAATGGACACTCTAACAATCCGATCATTGAATTAAAGATGTGCTTAACATGTGTAACACATGTTCTAAACATGTTTCAAGTTTGTGTTCTACATGTTTAAAACATAGTTGGAACGTCTCTTAGACATCTGGAAATTGTTTGGCAACACGCTTCCTCTCCAGATGATCGTCCTCCGCAAACGTAGAGCACCCCAGAGGCGCCCACGAGGCCCCGCGAGGAGCCGAAGAGGTCTCCGGGAGGCTCCCCGCGGGCCCGCGGGAGGCCCCAAGTCGCCCTCGGGCGGCACCCCGAAAAACTCCAGGAGGCACCAGAGATCGGCGGCAGGCCAAGGGGGAAGCGAGCCGGGACGCACGTCTTGTTTTGTACCTGCGATAGGGAGCCCCGTGGCGAGTGCGGAGCGAGGGGAGGGGGGGGAGGGAGGGGCCAGGGGGGGGGGGAGGGCGCGCGCCACGCGCCCTGGCCCTCAGGGGGCCGTGCCGGCCGGCGGGGGCGGCCGCGCGCCTCGCGCCCGCCGCCGCCGGCGAGAGGGGACGCACAGAGACAATGCTGGTGTGATGTGTTCTTTGGCGGCGCGCACAAGGGGGTGGGGGGAGGGGGGAGGGCTTCTTAGAAGCACCCCTGCTCCTTAGAAGGCGGCGGCCTTACATGTATAGAGAAGGCCCGCGCCTTCTAAGAAGCAGGGGTGCTTCTAAGAAGCCCTCCCCCCTCCCCCCAGCCCCCTCTGCGCGTGGCTGAGTTCTCCTTGGAGGCGTGCGTCCGACCCGAACATTGTGGCACTAGCATCTCGTTGCCAGGGCGGCGTGGCCAGGAAGCGCCCACCACGACGCCACGCGCGCCGCCCCTGGGGGGTGGGCCACGCACCTATAGTATATAAGTATGTTGGGGTGACGCCGACGAGAAAGAAGAGGCCTTCGCAGAAGGCGGCGAGGTTTCTCAGAGGCCATCCGGTCTTCTGATCAGTTGTCGCGTGCGTCTCCGGGGAAGGCCTGAACAGCTGCCCAGAGGGCCAGAGGCCCTCCGAGCCTGCTGAGGAGGCGCGAGCCTTCTCGCTTCCCCCCCGGGGCCCGCCGCCGACAAAGAGGCCTCTGGCTGACAACGCAAGCACGGTGGCGGGACGGACCGAAGGCCACTCGATCCGACGCTTCCTGCTGCTTGCAAGAAGGGCTGCTGGCGTGCTCGACGATACCCGCTTGAATCCTTTCAAAAGGCTTTCAGTGGGGTCCCTACTCAACCCGCCGGCACACCGAACAAAAAACTGATGCACAAACCATGGCACGCATACCGCCACCACCACCACCAACACCAACACCAACAACAACAATCAAATACGACTGCTCGCTCTTATCTGCTCGTGTGCCAGATGCAACACGTGTATCCCGAATCCCCGATACCCGCCCTTTTCGTCTTCAATCGTAACCCCTACTGGGGTATAATTTCCTTGCCTGCCGCGTGTAGTGGGCACGGCCGCCCTGTGCCCCAGCCGCGCCCGCCCCGCTTCTCGGATCTGTCCCTGGAGCCGACCATCAAAAAAGTGTAGTGGGCACGGCCCCTAAAAAGGTGAAGGAAGGGAGGAGGGAAGAGACAAGGATGAGGGAGAAGGATGGAACACGAGAGAGATTTACAGAAGGAGGGTGAGGAGCAGGAGTGCAAGCAGCAGAACCAGACGGGCGGGCCGGACGGGCGGACTCTAACAGGCAGGTCGGCTGGGCGGGCCCAGACGGCTGGGTCGGGGTCGCTGAAGCGTCAATCCAACATGAATCGCAAGGGCTTTTCAAGTGATAACGCGATTCTCAAGCAAATCGGGAGGAAATCAATAGCGACAGCATGATTCCTGAGTCTTGGGGACACGGCGCTGCAATAAATTATGAGGAATTAACACGCGAGATCGATTCCTGCATACATTGTAAGGAAGTGCCGCGCGAGAGCGTGAGTGGGAAATAAATTGTGAAGAAATATAAAGCGGGAGCCGCTGTTGTTGTAAAGCGGGCGTCCACCAAGACTTCCCCTCCTAAAAACAAGGTGCGAGACCCAGGAGGGACACTTACATTGAAAACCACAAACACCATGTGCACCGTCTATTAGAACAGGATCCAGCCCTTTCTATTACGGCTGGACCCAGCTCTATAGGATTCGATTGTGGTTGGATCCAGCTTTACTGGGATTCCATTCGGGTCGGATCCAGCCCTGCTGAGATTCTAAAAGGGCTGGACCCAGCTCTAGTCGGATTCTACTGGGGCTGGATCCAGCTCTGGTTGGATTCTATTAGGGCTGGGTCCAGCTCGAACGGGATAAGATGAGGGCTGCATCCAGCTCTACCCGTTTTCACAACGTGGCCCTCGCCCTACCGCAGCGCACACTCGATTTGAACAGGTGCAGGGGGCGTCACGGAGGGAGGGCGAAAGGGTTTTCAACGTGTGGCTCTCGCCCTGGCGCCGAGCACATTTGTTCTTGAAAAGCTGCGGCGGCTCCTTTTCAAAATGTGGCTCTCGCCTTGGCGACGCTCACGCTGGTCTTAAGCGTTTGCAAGAATTCCACTGGTTGAGGGCGGTTCCTCTTCAAAGTGTGGCGATCGCCTTTAAGCGCCACGCACACTCGCCCTCAACATGTGCAAGAGTTTCACCGATTCCCATGGTTAACGTACCAGAAAATGCGTGTTGGAAGAATGAGAGACTGTGATGGCGCGACAGTTGCGTAGATTCGCGGTGTTGGGAAATGGCGTTCTGGCACGACTCTGGATCGTCAAGACGCAGCAGTCAGGCTGACCCGTGGCGTTAGAGTCTCGAGGGCAAAATGGTTTGGCACGTTTCAGGGTCTTGAAACGGTCGTCCCTCAAAGAGGCAGTTCCCTGTGGAAATGAATCCTTGAAGGGGGATGTGAAGAGGAAGCTTGGAGGGAGGGCTTATTCCAACACCGTTGATGAGCCTTAGGTTTGCACTGGTCCTTCTCCTGCTGCTCCTCCTCCTCCTTCTCCTCCTCCTCCTCCCCCTTTTCCTCATCCGGCTGTTCCTCCTCCTCCTTCCGCGCCCTTCCTCCCCCACCCACTCTTTTCTCCTCCTCGTCCTCCTCTTGCTCCTCCTCCAATTCCTCAGCAATCCTCCCTTTCTCGGGGGCACGACGTCTTACCGAGCACTTTATTCCAGCACGTTCTCATCCACATCCCCGATCAGGGCAAGTCGTCTGGGCATCGTTTCTGGATGGACCAGTGGGGTTGCGCGAATCGTCTAACAGTTGAAACACAATGTGCACTGGGCAGGGGAGATCAATCATGAATCATACTTATTCTTGAGGAATGAAAACTCAACAACAAGTATGTTAAGCCTGTTCGCTCTTATCTGCTCGCGTGTTATTGAACGCGTATATCCAGAAACCTCGATACCCGCCCTCTTCGCCTTCAATCGTACCCCCCTTGGGGTAGATCTTCCGTACTTGCCACGTGTAGTTGGCGCAGCCAGTAAAAAAAGGGGAAGGAAGGGAGGAGGGAAGAGACAAGGAGGAAAGAGAAGGATGGAGCACGAGTGAGATCAGCAGGAGGGGGCTAGGAGCAGCAGCACAAGTTCGCAGAACCAGACAGGCGGGTCAGGCGGACTCTGACGGGCAGGCCGGGTGGGCGGGCCAGACGGCCAGGTCGAGCGGGCGAGTCGCTGAAGCGCCAATCCAACATGAGTAGCAAGCAAGTTTCGAGCGATAGCGCGATTCCCAAGTACACCGTGAGGAAATCCGTAGCGACAGCGTGATCCTGAGCGTTCAGGGCACGGCGCCGCAATCAATTGCGAGGAAGACCAACGCGGGAGCGCGAGAACTGCGTACATCATGAGGAAGTCCCGCGCGAGTGTGCGGTATTGGAACAACTTGTCAAGAACTATTAAAAAAGGCCGCTGTTGTTGTAAACCAGGGGCCGCCGACACAGTTTGAGGAGGAAGAGCTTCCCTAATGAAAAACTGGGTGCGAGCTCCAGGAGGGGCATTTCATTTGGAAGAATACAATTTGCACTGGGCAAGCAAAGAGGACAAATACTAATTGTTCTATAATACCGAGGGTTCAACAACAAGAAGCAATTCAAGACTGTTCGCCCTTACTTGGTCGCGAGCCATTCAACACGTATGTCCAGAACCCTGGATACGCGCATTCTCCGTCCTCGATCGTACCCCCCTTGGGGGCATATCTTCCTTACCTGCCACGTGTAGTTGGCGCAGCCCGTAAAACTGGGGAAGGAAGGAAAGAGGGAGAAAGATGGAGCACGAGAGAGAGATTAGCAGGAGAGGGGCTTGGAGCAGAAAACACGTGAACCAAACGGGCTGATCGGTTGGGTAGACTCTGATTGGGCAGGTCGGGAAGGCGGGCCAGACCCAGGCGGCCAGGTCGAGCAGGCGGGTTGCTGAAGAGGAAGTCCTGCATGAATCGCGACAGGGTTTGGGTCGATAGCGCGACTCCGAAAAAAGCGAGAGCGCGATTCCTGAGCGTCGAGGGCGCGGCGTCTAGATCAATTGCGCGGAGGTCCCACGCGAGAGCGCGATTCCGTCATACATTCGAAGCAAGTCCCGCGCGAAAGCGCGATTGTATAATATATTGTGATGAAGTATCAGGCGAGAGCCGCTTTTGTTGTAAACCGGGGACCAACGACACCGTTTGAGGAGGAACACTTTCCCCGTGTAAAAAAATGGGTGCGAGCCCCAGGAGGAGAACTGCAATTGAAAAACAGTGTGCGCGGGGCAGGGGGAACAACAATAACTATGTTGTCCCAACCCTCCTGCGTTGGGTTCTCGCTTTGAATAGAGCAGTGCGGTTTCCGTCCTTTTCCTCCTTCCTCCTCCTCCCCGCCCCCCTTCTCCTCATTCCTCCTGTTCCCTGCTGCCTCTTGTGTCCTCTCTGCTCCTCTCCTCTCTTGCTTTCTGATTCGTGCCTCGCTGTCTTCGCCGGTGGTTTGCTTGTGGGGCCTGCTCTGCGAAACTGTCGCCGCTTTCGAAGGCTGCTGGGGGGGACCAGCCGCAGCGGATTCAGATTAGACCTCGCCATCCTTGGGGACGGCTGCGATCTGCGAAGCCGCCGCCACTTTCGAAAGCTGCTGCCGCAGATTCCGATTAGACCTCGCCATCCCTGGGGGGCTGCGATTTGCAAAGCTGTCGCCACTTTCGAGGGTTGCTGGGGGGACCAACATAGTGGGTACCCGCCGCAGATTCAGATTAGACCTCGCCGTCCCTGGGGGGGGGGGGGCTGGGATCTTCGAAACTGTCGTCACTTTCGAAGGTTGTTGGGGGGGGCAGCATAGTGGGCACCCGCCATGGATTCAAATTAGATTTCGCCATTCCGGGGCCGGGGGGGCGCGTTGCGATCTGCGAATATGACGCAACTTTGGGGCTTGCTGAGGGGACCATCATAGTGGGTACCCGCCGCAAACTCAAACGGTAGCTCGCCATCCGTGGGGGGCTGCGATGTGCGAAACTGTTGCCACTTTCGAGGGCTGCTGGGGGGCCCAGCGGACTGAAGCACTACCCTGACTCAGATTGGACCTCGCCATCCTTGGGGGGCTGCGATCTGCGAAGCTGTCACCACTTTCGAAGGCTGCTGGGGTGTCCAGTGGAGTGGGGCACCACCCAGACTCAGATTACACCTCGCCATCTTCGGGGGGTGCGATCCGCGGAACGGCCACCTCCTTCGAGAGCTGATGGGGGGGTCAAGCGGAACGAAGCACCACCCAGACTCAGATTGGACTTCGCCATTCTTGGTGGGCTGCGATCTGCGAAGCTGTCACCACTTTCGAAGGCTGCTGGGGGGTTCAGCTGAGTGAGGCACCACCCAGACTCGGATTATACCTCGCCATCCCTGGGGGGCTGCGATGTGCGGAACTATCGCCACTTCCCAGGCCTTCTGGGGGGTTCAGCCGAGTGGGCACAACCCAAACCCAAATTAGACCTCGCCGTCCCTGGGAGGCTGCGATCTCCGAAACCGTCGCCGTTTTCGAAGGATGCTGGGGGGTTCGACGGGGCGAAGCACCACCCAGAATCAGATTAGACCTCGCCATCCGTGAGGGGCTGCGATCTGCGAAATTGCCACCACTTTCGAGGGCTGCCGGGGGATCCAGCGGGGCGCCGTCGCGGACCCCCCGCAAACCTGGCGGCGCGCCTTCGAGCGTTTAGCTCCCGCGGAGCTGGCGGGCGAGCTATGCGTCGCTCGTTTCTTGCACACATTATAAGCAGCGTTCGCGGCGACATTGCGACGACAGCGCTGCATCTCTAGCGCACTACCGACAAAGGCAACACTCTTCGGCTTCATCCCGTCATTTTCGTCGCCGTCCTCTGCCCCCTGCCACCTTCCCTCTGCTGCTGCCGCGCTGACGGGTCGGCCGCCCACGCGTCCTTTTCCTGCCCTTCGTTCCCGCCCCCATGTCCTCCTCCAGCCTGGGCGCTCGTTCTTCGCCAGTCTGTTGTTGTCCTGTGACTCGTGCCACGCGACCGCCGCGACCGCATCCCATGCAGCTTGCGCAACATATAACGGCGCCTGCACTGTCATTGTCCTGGCAAGTTTGGGCCAATTCCTCTTACCACTTGATGCAAATTGGTTGGGTACGTCACAGGGTAGTTGGAGATAAAGATTCTGCGAGATCAATCATTCTACAGCTGTTCGTTCTGATTTGCTCGCGTGCCATTCCTCGTGTTGGATCGTACCCCCTTTCGGCGCATGCCTTCCTTACCTGCCACGCGCAATTGGCGCAGCCCCTGAAACAGGAAAAGGGAGAGAGGAGGGAAGGGACAAGGGGGAGGAGGAGGAGGAGGAGGAGGAGGAGGGAGGAGGAGGAGGAGGAGGAGGAGGAGGAGCAGCGAGGAGGAGCAGCGAGGAGGAGCGAGCGAGGAGGAGGAGCGAGGAGGAGGAGCGAGGAGGAGGGAGAAGGATGGAGCGCGGAGGAAGGCATGTCGGCAGGAGGGGGGGGGGCGGGCCGATCAGGCAACAACAAAAAAAACGAGTGGCGGGGCTGGACGCGGGCGGGTCGGGCGGGCGGACCCCCCGCGGCGGGCCTGGGCGCGCCGGGCGGGGGAGGCCCCCCCGCCTGGGCCGGGGGGTCGCGGCGGGGCGGGGCCGCGGCAGCGTCGGAGCCGCGGCGGGTCGCGGCAGCGTCGGGCCCGCGAGCATCGCCAGGAAATGCCCGAGAAGAGCGCGGCTCCCGAACGGATCGCGAGGAAGTCCAGAGAGAGAGAGAGAGAGCACGTGGTTCCCGAGCGTCGACGGCGCGGCGTCCGAATATACGGTGCGAGGAGGTCTCACGCGAGAGCACGATTCCTGCAGAACTGGTGGGGAGGTCCCGAACGAGTGGACGATGCTGAATCAATAGTGAAGGCGTATCAGGCGGGAGAGCCGTTGTTGTTGCCAACCGGGGGCCAACCACACAAGCTGAGACGCAAGACTTCCCCTTGTAACAAAAAAGGTGCGAGTCCTGGAAGGGGCACTTCAAATGAAAAATACCAGGTGCACCTGAGAGGAATCAACAATTATTCTTCTTTAGACATGTCTACTCAACCAGACGAAACAAACCAAAACAACACCTCAGCCACCACAAAAAAAACACAAACAAGATAGTCCAGCCCAACATGACCTCCATGACGGTCCCAGATGACCTCCAAGACGTCCAATATGGCCCCAAACGAGACCAAGACGGCACCGAAATGCCTCCAGGACGGCCGAACATGGACCCAAGACGGCCCAAGATGGCTTCAAAACGGCCCAAGACGCCCCCGATACTGGCCCTCCAGGAGGACCCGAAGATACCAAAACCACGGGCTTGTCCGTGTTGAAAAATGATCGCGTCTTGCCTGTTCGGGCGACCGACGGCCCAAGGCGGCCCCAGAGGCCATCAAGATAGCCTTAGGTCGGGCGTGTCCTCTTGCAGGCAGATGTTGGACGGGAATTTTAAAAAATGCAACAAATACTCCAAAAACATCTATTAAATAGTAGAAAAATCGTCCCGAGAGGATTTCTTATCATTTTTGAATGTTCCTCCTGTAGAGGGACAGGCCCGATTTCAAGATGGCCCCCCAAGGCGGCCCAAGAGGCCTCCAAGAGGGCCCCAAGACGGGCCCGAGACGGCAGAGGCCCCCCAGGGTGGCCTGCCAAGGCCAAGAGGCCCCCAAGAGGCCCGGAGAGGCCCTCGGAGAAGGCCCCACAGAGCCCCGAGGAGGCCCCCGAAGGGGCCCCCAAAAGAGGCTCCCGGAAAGCCCCTAGGCCTGACAGGGCCTCCTCTTCCTGCTCCCCCTCCGACGCCCTCTCCTCCCTCGCGTCCTCCTCGCTTCCTTCCCCGAGTGTGCTCCCGAGGCTTTCCACCACGGCTGGGCGTCCAATGGCTTGGCTAAGCTGGGGCGCAACGTTTGACCACAGCGGCATTTCCCGGTAGACGGGGGAAGGCGGCAGTGATTCGCCGGCGGCGCCTTCGACAACATGATGGTGGGCCACTGTGTTGAGTCGTCTAGTTGCGCTGGCACGTTGGCGGGGTACGCCGCAGGCATCTGGATAACTTTGGAAACAATGAGGTGAATAGCTGCTTGTACTCCTCGTACGACTCCGGCAGAGGTCCTTCGAAGTGTGAGATGGCAAAGAGCCAGTCGTACATGCAGTTGTGTCCAATCACCGGTTTCTTGGCATCAGCAATGGCCTTGAAAACCCGGGTGAACCCAACCTTCCGCGCAAACTCAGCTTCACTGGCAGCCCGCTTCGCTGCGGCCCTTTCAGCCCTCTGAGCTTCGCTCAGACGCAGAGCAACAAAAACAGAAACTCCTCTCTGATCCGTGGGCCTCGACTCGGCCATTATGTCTGGGAAATCTGCCGCAAACGTTTCGTATAGAAATCTCCTGAGGTACGCGTTCGTGGACATGACTTCAAACTCCGTCTCGTCCTTCCGACTCTCGTCGGACAGCCAAGCCTTGAAGTTTGCGATGGCTGTTCCTGTCTTCTCGATATCGTCTGCCTTGGTCAGCGTGATACGCGTCTGTGGAACGTCCGGCGCTGTGGACTTGTCGGGCTCACTCGGAAAGAGCGAGGCCTTGAGCTTCTCAGCCTCAAGTCTGGTGACGTAAGGGTTAGGTCGGGAGTGTCCCACTACAGGCGGATGTTGGAAGAAAAATAACAAATAGTCGAAAAAAAAAAAAAAAAAAAAATATATTCGAAAATGGTAGAAAAATCGTTCCCAGGCTATTTTTAAACTATTTTTGAACATTCCTCCTGTAGAGGGACATGCCCGACTTAACGTAAGGGATGCCCTCGCGGATCCACTTGTTCCAATCCATGCCGTGGTCCCGGTTGAACCTGACCGCGGAGCCTTCCATGATGATGTCACCCACCTCGGGGAAGATGTAGAAGTTGTAGGGGCGCGCCCTGAAGCCGTCCCCCTCCTGGCTTATGCGGTTCCTATCACACTTACGGACCACATCCCAGAAACATGTTCGAGCACCCAGAAGAGTACGGTTACGGCGAGGGCATTAGATAAGGAACCTGTAGATGAGGAGTCCAGGGTCTGGAAGCCAGCGGAACACCGATTGAGGCTTGGCCATGGATACCACCGCCACCCTCATCTGACAAGGAATCCCCCAGGGTCTGGAGCCTCCTGGGCACATTCCTTAAGGAACGCCCCCACCGTATCAGAACAATGCCTGCCCGGCACGCTAGCGAAGTGTCGACCAAATATCGCCTCCCAGTGCCTGGCACAAGAAAAACCTTCCATTCCAGCAACTGTTTGGGCACTCGAAATTACGACTTCTGGTGGTCGAGGCTAAAGCAGGTCGGAACATCATAACTCCTGGTGGAACAGCGCCACGCCGAACTGGATGATCCTGTACCGCGAGGCCACCTGCCGCATCCTCGCGTACCTCCTCGCCGGCGAATCCTCGATGCGCTCAGGCTGCCCGCTGACCGAGATGC